TCATCTATAGTTATTTACAAATGATATAGTAACACATGTCTAATGTGTATTTATTGCAAGATACGTGTCAATACATCATTCATGAATAACTACGGATGGCTCCACAACAAAACCGTATTAAACCTACATCTGAATAATATATAATTTTCATATTTGGATATTTTTTATCGTCACATTGAGATGTTTAATTAGAAAGAATTGTATTTTCAATAAAGTTTTAAAAAAATTAAATGAAAAAGCTGAATCGTGCATCGCACGGGTTGAAAGTTAGTTTGTCTTCTAAATTTCGCACTTACTGAATGTTCGAGAAAATAATATTTTGCGAGAATAGAATTTTGATGGGAAACAAAAAGGAAAAAGAAACACATGCACCGAGGACTATAAGAGCGTCTCCAATGTGGCTTTTGACATTATAAAAATTTATTTATATCATCAATTTTTAAAAATGTATTACTAATTATTCTCCAACGCATCTTGTCATAAACTCTTTTCACGACGAGGTGAATGACATTTAATGTTGTCAATGTTGAGCCAACATAACACAAACGTTAAACATGATGACTTATCAATTCACTTTATATATGGTTTATTTTTTCATTATTCTTGTATCAATAAATTATTTTAATTAGCCACTTATACAAATAACTTCTTATCAAATTGATGCATTGGATATACTAGTATGATTTAAATTTTTAGTCTTTTTATCATTATACCTATATGAATTTACATTACAATGGGCTATTTTGTGGCGATAACATCGTTAACCCCTGTGTTTACCTCTAGGAAGTCAGTTCAACAGACACATCATCAAATATCTTGAGAAAACAAACTAAAAATTGCGTTATTTAATTTTAATATTTTGTAGATGGAAATCATTTTTTGTTAAATTTGAAATAACAACTACAATTTTAATATTTTTTTAGTAATTACACTTACAATATTTTATTTATATTTATAATTAAATTTAAATTACCTACTACTATGAATTAAAAAATAAAGTTATCTACAAAGTACTTATCTCATATAAATTAAAAAAAATTATAATGTAGGATGCTAAGTCGTGTGAGTATCATTTTAAATATAAGTAATAATATATTTTTCAAAAAAATAATTAAAAACTAAAACAATTTTTGTGTTAGTATTATTTAATTTAAAATTAAATTTCTTAACATGTACCCATGTAGTACACGGGTATTGTACTAGTAGTAATATTGTTTTTCATAACTTATCAAAAAAAAAAAAAAAAATAACGCATCCTATTATTGAATGGTACGTAATAAACTTTGTCAAATATTGTATATTAATCATAACTCATAAGTAACATCTACGCTACAAAAAATCAAATAATATAAATATGTATCAGTATATAACAACATATGAAAATATACTAATGGCGTGCACAGCCGGCTCGAGTTTAATATATAATTATAAAACAATAATTGTTTTTTTTGTCGGCACAAAAAAATTGTTGCTTAAAATGTGCTCAATCGTGTACATATATTTGCCATACTCGAACAGTACATATCCATATATTTGTCAGCATTTCTAAAATTAGATTAAATTTTTATGAATCCATCATAAATGTAGGAGTTACAATATAATCAAATACTCAATTTAATATGTAATTATGCGTAAAATTTGAGCACTCACCAACCGGCACTCTTGGGCTCAATTTAATCCGTATTTAATATACAATTTGAGTAATTGTACGTGTAGACATGGACTTTTTTTTTTTTTAACTCAACTTTAACCCAATTCCACTATTTTCCATATTATCAATATAATTAAACAATATCAACCAATCATTTTTACACATCACATCAACTTTAATTCATTATTCATCCACTCACATAATTTTAACTAACTATCACTTCCAATCATTTTTCTTCTACTTTACATTAAATCAACTTTAATTATTTTATTTAAATATTATTTTAATATCTATATATATATAAAAAGAATTACCATTTTTCAAAAATGGCAAGTCAACTTTTGGTCAAATACAGACGATATTAATTACATGCTATTAATAGAAAGTTTTTTTTTTTACCTTCCAAACGGCCCTCATTAATGTTGGCCTAAAAAAGTGTTGTTTGTTATTTTTTATGGATAAGATTGGGGTTGTTACTTTTAAACTTCCACAAAATCAACAAAATTTTTTTTAAAGGAAAATCATGTATCACAATTGTAATTTTTTATTTTTATTATTTTTTTATTTTTTAAGAAAGAATTTATGGCTAATTTAATAATAAAAATTACTTTAGTATTTTGAAAAATTGCAAACTTTTTTAACATCAAATCGACTAATACAATTGATTTTTTTTTTTTTTTTTTTT